GTGCTTCAAAGACCGGCCAATATGAAACGAAACACTTTTGTTCAAACGCCCCTCTAAGTCACACTCACACAGAAGATATCTTGCTGACTTGCATGCACGTGTCCATACTTTAACACAACACCGGGTTTTCACCACCAGCTTATGCAGCTGGTGACCGATTATGGTAGTTTCTTTCACCACGCGGAGAAATATCCAGCTTTTATTATTATCAGTACTGAAAACTCTTTGAAGTTTGTTCGATTAAATAAATTACTTTGGAAGCAAATTTAGTTTCCAGTTGATTGTGTACTTACTTTTTAGGATGATTGTTTGAACATCTGAGTGCTTCATCATGACTCTAGGAAACTCGAGGAACATCAGAATGTGCGCCGGTTCAGCTGTAGAAGCAATTGATGGAGAAGAATGCAAAGAACGCTTCACAGAGCGTCTTCTGAAAATAACCCACCGTTCCTTTGTTCCGAAATCAATAAGAAAGCGATAAGGTTTTCTCCCATTTTCCAGCTTTAGATGGCTGATGACCACTTAATACCCTGCACGTGACATGCATATCACGTGTTTCAACAGCTGACATCAATCAGGCGATGGATACATACTCTGGGGCGGTTGATATTGGTGCATGTTAGTGAGATTTGAGTTGTGATGTCTCCATCTGCTGCATGCACGCGGATACGAGCAACGATATCTGTGCGAATCTGTGCACAGTCCCCCAGATTGTGCCATTCTAATCCTCACGCGTATACGGATTGCAAGGACTGCACAAAAGTTTTTGTCCCAATCGGTTGAGAAAGCATTCGGTAACTGGATTACTGTATGATTCTGTCGACTGATCATCTGTCCATTGATTTTCGACGCAACGCTCACAGCAGACTGCATTAAAATCCATCTGTTCACGTCGTCGCGCAATTCACTGTTCCACCTATGTCGTGGATTATTGGTGATGCTTCTAAAGCCCTTAACAATGCGATATAAACCCTGTTTGATTTCCCTTTGGTCACCGAATCTGATGCGTTATATCACTGTGGTGGAAGAAATCTTCTGATGGATAACGTGATGCTCATCCAGCTACCGGGAATGAAGCAAACGCAGTGAGGCGGTCATAATGGAACACAAACTAAATTGAAATTTATTTTGCGATCCTAGCATAGAGTGACTGTAGCGCGGTCGGTATTATTGGGAACGAGGGAAACAAGGGAAACGGCTGAAATGCCACTACAGCGGCATTGTCTCCTAGCCCTATTTGCATTGACTGATGGGGAAGAAACTAGACATTAGTGCCGATATTTGAGTGAAACCGGCCAGAATGGGTTAGTAACTAACCTGGAAGTTTGGACTACATTGGGCACCAATGTGCTGGTTTGCATCGGAAACGAAACTCTCGGCATTAACGAGAAAATAAGATTGTTAATATCGTCATCTCTAAACTACGAACTACTTTCGAATTCGGGTAGCTAAGAGGAATATGATTTTCCGAAAATTGTTTTTAACGAATTAGCAATCTGACCGAGCGGACTTCTTTTCCCGTTAACGATCAAAAATGATAAACCGTGGGAATGAAGCTCTCCTAAAGGCAACTGATTCGAGATCTATTCGCTAATAACTGTTAGGATCTAGTGAACCGGAAACTAGCGATTGTGGTCGAATTGCAGCCTCAGTGCTCAAAATCTACCCCCGTAACGTGAAAATGTAACGGCAGGTGTCGCTAGCCAAAATGTGAGCTACCAAGTGATCGAAGCTTGAACCCATATCTTCCAGTGATAAATTTGGTCCTAATTTGCACAGATGTTGGTGGTTTCGGCGGTTGATCACTTAAAGTGTAATCGGAAATTCCGAGGACAACAGAAATATCTGCGGGTTTGTGTAGGTTAGATTTGGAATGGTCGAAAAACCTGGAGGAATAGATCGCGCTTTGTTTTGGCCTGCTAAGTTTTCAGTCGCCGTTTTTGTGTTAAGAGGCAAACAAATTGCAAACAACGTCACCGAATACAACGACGAACTCAAAAGAGAGAGAGTGACAAATTAAGTCGATCATTTGAGGTGCACTATAAACAGACATTGATGAGTTTTGTTTCCTCGGGCCAAGTGACAAAAGTGTATTCCGTGTAAGCTACATGCACATGAGTCTGCACAATTTATGGTGAAGGAAACCAACAGATTCCTTTTATTGCTTCATCGCCACAGCTCGGAACACAGGCGTCCCTGATTAGCCCGGCACAAAATGGCCGAGTAGACCTAGCACAACACGGTGAATCTGAAATTCGAAAGTTCCTCATTCAGCAAGCTTTCATCCATACATAGCAAATACCTTGAATGATAGAACTTCGCTCCCTGTCGTCACGACTCAGACAGGCCACTCGCCTGTCTAAAGGAAAACCACGCAACGACAGTTCAATAGCTTCAGCCGATTAAAGGCAAATCAAAGGAGAAATAATTGATAATCCCTAGGAAATTCTGGCACAGTTCAAAAATCACTTCTCAGCTCTGTTCACCTGCCCATGATATGTTGATAATAATTACACAGCCTGAGTCACACGGAGAGCGACCGACTACATCATTTAGTTCATACACCTCGTCTTGGTTACATTGGCTACATTCTCCCGAGTCGCCGTAGGATGATGTGATGCACCAATGTCTAATATCTTCACAGCACACTATCCATAATACCGACAAGGAAGAAACAAATTAACGCACTGTTCATAGCACAATTCACAAAGTTGCGAGACATGCCCTGGTCAATCAATATTTGCTACGCTAAATCCAACACGGCGAATGAAAGTACCATGCGCCAAGGCCCGCTATCGATCGAAGAGTGAACGGTGTTGGCGTTGAATACTGCCGGGATGCTTTGGCTACATGTGACACGAATCACTTAGTCCCACGAAAACGTTTCCAAGCTCAGCTGCTCAATGGATTAGCAAATGTTGGCCTCTCGAATGGGCGGGATTGGAGAATGTCGGTGTGAACAGGTGGAACAAGCTCTGGGCCCCGATTCGTTGAGATACTGGGAAAATGGTCAGTTATTCAAGGGGACTTGACTTCACACTAAAAGCACCAAAGAGGCCGGATAGTAAAACTCAAAAACGCAGATCTGAATAACACGAAATGTAGAACTACGGAGCCATCAGCCTCTCACTGACTGAATATTGTAGCAAAGATTTGAATGCTTGCGGTAGACCCCAGCCAAACGGACGCTATCTCCATCTGTTGGATACAGCGCGATCACAGATGTGGAACACTTGTGGGGGCATCCGAAAACTGAGGTGATTCTACATAGTGCTACTGGGCAACCAAAGTTTCCGCCAATTTGACGATATTTGTTAGCTTGACTGACTAAAAAGATACGAGCCCAAAACCGAATCTTCGAACTGTTATCAAACGATGAATTACTTTTTGGTTTCGTCGGTTGTTGAGTGTCAGTCACGATACAGCTCGAAGGCATGTATGAATTCTAAGGAAGTGCGTTTGTTTCATGACCGAAGTCGCATTGTATTAAACCTGTCCCGAGACGTCAAACGGGATTAGAAACATAATTTCGGCTGTTTGTTTTAGACGTCCAGACATGTTGCTTTCGTCCGATGAGAGCAGACCCAAAATAAATAAAAGCATTCTGGTCAGGATGAGAGAAATTCGATGGAACTGAGCAGACAATTTTGTCAGGTGACCAGTATATATTTAATTATTTGAAGGTCACCTTTTCTGCGTTCTGTCACTTGGACACGCGTCATTTGCTGTCATGACGTGCACACCTTCAACAAGTTTCTTGAAAAGAACCAACCTGTAAAACGATTTCCCACATTGCTCGCAAATGTGATGGCTTTGATTTCCGTGCACGGTTCTCATGTGCCGATCAAAACTCCGTTTTCGGCACAACAGCGCCTCACACTCCTTGCACACTTGACGCGTTTCCTCTCGGTGAACCGATCGCCTATGCTGGAACAGATTCTTAAAACTTGAAAAGCGATTCTGTCATTCAGGACGTGAATCGCCGCTTTCCTCTGGTTCACGCACTCGCTTACTGTATGTTCTCACAAGAATGTGATGCCCACCAGCATTTTTTCCTTAATAGTTTGCTCAAGCCTACTCTCACACATGAAAGTTCTTTCGCACATATTACAATAAATTTCGGCGGTTTCATTGTGCACGGTTTGGTGCCTCGCAACCTCCTACAAGGGTGGGAATGATTTGCCGCATAATAAGCTCTCGTGGGGTCCTTGCTGGTCTGCTTGTTTGTTCGGATCTTCGGGTTGAATAAGAGTGGAAAGTTTGCCCTGCGTTGTCCTTGTTGATTGCACTACGTTTACGAATGCTGTTTAAAATTAAAAGAGGCGAAGAACTCAATGTCAGGTTCACTAAATTTGTTTAGCTGTCTTATACTGTCCTTAAATGCAAAAGTGCAAATAGCATCCCATTATTGGAAAGGGACCTGGAATTTTCGATCGAGCCACTGTGTTGCAAGTGCACATTTTCACTGCTGAAGAAAACTCGGGAAGCACTTGACAACTAATTCACCCCCATCGGGAATTATGAGCAGTGCGATTCCCACGGTTTGAGTAATGGTCTGTGTTTAACAACCACGTGATTACCACTGAAAGTCACTCCGTTCGATGGCGATCAGCTCATCCATCCTTAACATGGCTGGCAATTAACCGGCATATAAGTCCATCCGTTCAACTATTACGGAATATGCTCGACGTGGCTACAACCACACTGGCTACTTGATTCATGACTTGCCAGCTGTAATATTTATACCCTCTGGTTTATTTATAATTTGTCAATAACAAGTTAAACCCTGGCATCCTCACTTCCGTCTTCTACTTAAGTTGAACAGCTCGGTGTGGCAGACGGGATTAAGCTATCTTACTTGGGACCGGATAAGCTGTTGTGGTTTGCTCGGCTGCTCCGTTCACTGGTTTCGCTTGTGAATATGGGTCCAACGCTATTCTGGTAGCAGGTTGAGGACTTTTTCTGAAGACAAACCATGCTTCAGCTTTTGTTCTCTGCAGGAATATTCGAGCCATCCGTACATGATGCCGGCATGTCCTTTAGCAGTCATCGAAATAGAGATACCAATTGCAGCAATCACCATGCTGCTGACGATTTTTCAGTAGCCGAAATGGTGAGCTAAATAAAATATATTTTACTGAAGTTGAAGCAATCTCCGCACTAATTATTACATACATTTTTGCAATGAGGTACACGATCACACAGACATAAACGATTTCGTGTTTGTCTGAAAAACGTCTGTTGGCACAAATCAAATATCGCGCTATGTGTTAACATTGCCGACGTGCGAAGCCTGTGTTCGAATTCGTTTGTTTGTCCATTTGAAGTTCGACGCACTTACCAAATGGCTCTCCACAACCGGCTACTTTGCTTAACCACCTAGTTCAGTATAATTTTCTCAATCGCCGTTTTAGCCGATTGCCTGGGTTCTGCCTGTGGTGATTCCAAGACACAAGCATATATTTAGGACGACAATTCGTGACTGATGATTACGCAAACGTCAACGCTGTTTTACTGGAGTTCAAGTATGGCTCGATTGTCTCTCGAAAAATGTAGTGACTTACACAACGGAGCATACTCCGAGAACAGGCTGTTCAACCCCGCAGCTGGAATAAAACAGAGCACGTTGCGTGGAGTGCAGCAGAAACGGTGAACCCGAAGGTGGCCAAAAGCGGTCCGTCGGCCTCATGTCCAAGTGCATTGTCTAACTACCGTGCCGACGCCCGAAAATAATAAAGCCGAGTGCTTTAGGATCACCAAGATATAAGAAATTTCCAGAATATTCATCAAGATCGCCTTTAATAAAGCAAACATTTTGGTCAGTGTGCGTCCAAATGTGGTGTCGCTCCAGCTCGGCGGGCACAAGAAGGAGATTAATCATTATTTCCGAAGGCGATTTGAGGAGAACCGGTTATGTCCTGTCTTTCATATTGCAATAACTGCTGCCAATACGGAAAAAAACATTTTGGTCAGTGTGCGTCCAAATGTGGTGTCGCTCCAGCTCGGCGGGCACAAGAAGGAGATTAATCATTATTTCCGAAGGCGATTTGAGGAGAACCGGTTATGTCCTGTCTTTCATATTGCAATAACTGCTGCCAAATACGGAAAAATCCTGGGGGGTTCATCAGGCAGTTTGACTTGCGGTATTTTGCCCGAAACTCAGACGACAAAAAAGAACATACCACGTATGTGTCAACAACCCAGTAGGGCAGCGGATTTTTGCTACCTTGCTCCGTACTTTGACCCAAGCCAGCTCTCTGTGAGATGTGATGCGGGTTTCAAAACACAGACTTCTTTTCATTAGCCGCCTGAAGAATGTGCATCGCCTTCGGGAAAGTTACGCGGATCCGAGAACGTAATTAGTTAACTGTAACTTATTTGTCCCACCAGCGTCAAACTGATAACTCGAAATCAAACACGCAGTAGTCTGTAAATCTGATCAGATAATGAGACGATTAGAATTTCATTCATCCAGAGACTACGGTATTAACAAACGTGATCAACAAAATCAGATTGCACGGCCACACACCACAAGATCATTAGAAACACACATATATAACAGGTAGCCACGGCTGGTCGAACTAGACGCATAGTGAGTATGTCTTCTGATGGGTATCTTCAACCTACTTTTGACGCTGTGTAGTGAATTTTGGGACGGCCCAAAATCATCGTGAGTTTCACTGACTCTACCACAAAACCTCCATGACAAACCGTACTAGAATGTCTGTGATTTCCTTGGTTTGCAACAAATCGCGTTACGGTTTGTAGCGCCAACTTGACGGCCATTCCCGGGTCGTGCGTTGTTTTGAAAATACATGATGTTCCATAATTGTGGCTGACATTTAGTGGTCGGCTAATATGAAATACGCCCTCTTTCGTCAAACGCAAGGTACTGTGCCCAAGCTAGCTCACACTGACCGAAAAAAACTGCCTGTTCGTGTTATTTGCTTCTTCACATGTAGAAATTCAACTTTGTGCACAATATCAACCACGAGAATGTCCCCAACGTGGTAGTGAACGATCCTGCAACGGACGGATTTGCAGTTTTTGCGTGTAGTGCCTGAGACGGTAGTGTTCAAGACAGGCGTTCTACCCGCCGAATTCACTGACAGGCATTTCGCTTGGCCTAAATTCGGAGATGCAGTGTATGACATGGTGGGATCCAAATGTCGAATCTTGAAAGGTTCCAAGTACAGGCCGTTTTGTTCTAGTTCGATATAGGGAATTTTTCTACCTGAGATCAGATTAAATATAAAGCCCGATGGAAATTAATATTTTCCCTATAGACGTTGCCTACTACCCAACCGAGTTTCGTCGCCTGAAATCAGAAGAAAACGTTTCCTGTGAATGACTATAAAACGTAACAATACATTATTTTCCTAAATCTGAAATCCTCAATGTGACCCCAGGGACTAAGTCACAGCATCACGGAACATTCATACCTTCACGCCCGAAGAATTTTATCGACCGAACAATATCACGCTGCTAATACAGTCTATCCTGACCAGTATTTCCACTGGAGTGCCAGGTTTTGGGAGCAAAAGCATCCAGCGTAATGAATCACCGTTTCTGCTACATTCCACGCAACCTATTCTGTCTGTTCCAGTTGTGGATTTGAACAGCCTGTTCTCGGAATATGCTCCCTTATGTAATCACTATTCTTTTCTGAAAGACTACCAAACCATATTTGCACCCCACTAAAGCATGGTGCCTCTTTACGGCTTTGACGTTCACGAATTGTCGTTCCAAATGTATGCTTGCCAATAGAGATCACCACACTCATTATCCAGGCATTCGGGTAAAACGGAGCTTTGGAAAATCATAATGAACTTGATCCCCAAGTCAACTAGCTGGCTTCAGGTAACCAATTGGATAACTGTCTGCGCGCGTTTCACACTCTTCATTGCACAGATACTACTGAACACAACGTGATTGTAATGGACTTGCTCGGAACCTATTCTAAAGCACGACTCAAAATCCTGAATCATGAGGTTTTGCAATTTTGCCTGCGCTCATCCCTTTCCCTATATGCTGTGAGAAATGACTGTTATGTTGAGCAGGCTAAGCTGACTACGTGGACGAAGGCTAATTCATCCTCTATGTGACATCAGTGTGTACGAAGTAACGAGAGACATGGTAGTTCCGTTACACGCATCCTGGGTCCTCCGACTCGTGCACAACTCAGGCTTTCCAGGAATATTCGATCTCCCGACCACCTGATAATATATATATCAAGAAATATTCGTTCGGCTGTGAAAATATCTCCATGGCACATAAGGCATCACCAGAGTTGAGAGAGTTCCAGGTTTCTTAAGCCGAGAAAGCGGTGGTTCTGGGTACGCCTCTTGAGTTCAAAATTGTAAATCGCGTAAATGACTTCCTTCCCCACACGGGCCATATTCAGTGGACCACAATAAGATGCAACAATTTCAAATTTACAAATCCGGATCAGTCCGCGTCACGTGCATGCCGTAAGTGAATAAATGTTTTCATGATATGTCGTGTATTTGAGGGTTAACCAAACAGCTGATCATCTACCCGTGATCTAGCCATTTAGTTTTCGAAAGATGAATGGAGTGATTCTGACTTCTACTCTTTTCGCAGGTGCACAACGCGCATGATTCCCTTTGAGGATGAAACAGCTGGACAGTACTAGCAGGCTTTCCGCTATAGGGCATGGTCACAAATATCCGATGAGAATTTCCCAGCCTTTTCATACTAATCGCAATGTCGACTCCTTGCCTACGTGTCTGTTGCTAGCAAAGTCAGTACATGCCAGTTGCGGACAAATGCTGTAACTGATATTTTTTGTCCACCTCTTATTTTCAACCAGCGGGTTTACACACCAGGCAGTCAGAAAACGCAGCAGATTGTTACTGTTCCGGTGCTGATCGAACGGACGGCCAGACAAGACAAACACATAAGGAAGGGCCTCCAATGTGTTTCCCATACCGCCACCCATCCCTAACCTGTCGGTGGATAAGATACACCACGAGAGACACGCCAGAACTGCGGATTTCCCCTGTATTCTGCCCGAAACATCGTTTAGTAATGAGGGAATCCTTCAACAACCAATGAGGCAAATGCACTCTCAGAACATCAAGACATTCAGCGCGGGAATCCGGGACAACAGGGCATCCATGTAATGAATGCGGAAAGTGCTTACCAAGTTGTAAGAATCTCCTTCGACTCCGGCGATCGGTACACAGTGAGGGAACGCGTCGACAATGTGAAAGATGTGGGGCATCGTTCTGCCAGAAATGGAATCTTGATCGCCATCTGAGGGACGCACACGGCCACCACGTTTATGAGGAATAAGGAACACTGAGCGCCCAAACTAGATGTTCTTAGGAAGCATCGGAAAATAGGCACGCCAGAGACTCAAATGTCACTGCCCATTCATAAGAAACAAACTAATATAAGCTGACCCAAAATTTGCCTAAATTCACTCTTGCGGAACTGCTCTTAATTTTCTGTAAACTTGAGATTTCTAGTCATGAAATTAACCCACCTCTTCCAAGTTGGCACATTTCGATGGTGTGTTCGGCAACAAGTACCTCGGATTTCCGACACATACTACTCACTGAACCTTACAAAAATTGCGCATCAGGAGCAAGGTGCCTCCACATCTGAAAAGGTTCCATTAAACTTTCAAGAAAAAAATCAACCTACTAGAATTCTGGATTTTTGCGTAACTCTCAGCGAAATCTTAATGTTCACAAATTTCTATGGATTGTGGATTATGACAGGCTTAGCAACGAATAAAATATGTAACGTGGCGAATCGTTTTCATATCGCAATACGACGGGAGGCGGAATTTAAATCTAGTACATTCCATGCTGGGGAATGCAGTAATATCTTCAAATACATCAAATTTTCATTAGCATATCAAACTACTCCGATTAGTTCGGAGCTGAACGATGCTTCTGGCAGTAATCCTCCCGATCAAGTGTTCGTTTCCTCATACTTTCGAAATGCACTTCCTAGGCCGTTTGTGAAATGGACAGTGCCATCTATGAAACTATAACAAACTCGATTATGGCGTTTGCAATCATGAAAATACCAACACATTGTTTGCACAAACATCGCTTTCTGTCTTGGAAAACAGGCTTT